CACCTTCACTGCCTCGTACTGCCCAAAGTACTCTACTGCCTCAGCTAGCTCCGCCACAGGTTTCTTCAACCATGACACATCGATTTTCACTGACTCCATGTCTTTCACCACCGCAGCTATCTCTGCTACTCGCGATTTCGTCAGATCCCTCAACACTGTCGAGTTCAGCTCCTTGACCACCGCGGATAGGGATTCAAGGTAAAACGACCTTGTTGCAATTGACTGGAGCTTTGAGGAGGCTGCGATGTCCCCGTGTTTATCGAGGATTGCCTGGAGGGTTTCGGACACGCTTAGCCTCACTCTGTAATTCGCCACAGACACGTAAGCCTCTGAGATCATTGATTGAATCTCTTCCTTTTCCTTGCTTTTTTCATGGCTATTGAGTCCTCGCATATTGGTGATTTCCTGCAGCGTGAAGCTCTGAGACTCGTCCACCAGCTCCGGGGGCTCAAACTGCTTGTCTTGCTCATAGGTCTCGGCCGCAACGATCTGGTAGTTGTGGTGGACAGGCTGCAGGTCAAAAAGCATTTCATTTGTTTGGTTTGTAGGCATCTTTTCATCTGAAATTGCAAGAACCATGGTGAGAGAGAGAGATAGGTTGGAAAATGATTCATACCGTGCTGTTTGCGGAGACAGGCATGGAACGAGGTCTGGAGTGAATTTCGGGAAATAGGTAGGTGGAATGGTTATCGTCGTCACTGGATGGATAGTATGGTGGTGCGCCTCGATAAACTGGACTCGGAGGAGCGCTATTCTGCAGCATTACTTCGACATCTGGCTCATACATTGCCTCAAATTGCTCATGATCGCTGTGATATTTACGACGGTCAGTCTGCTGCACCTGCACATTTAGATGATCAAATTCTATATTGTCAATCTATGTGACTCACTGTCAAGAGGACTTTGATTGTTTTATCACTAGAAAGAAGTTGAAGCAGAAACAGAGCAAAACTTGAGCTTTTGAGTACCGTTCTGTAGGGCGGTGGTGGTGAACGGCTTGCAGCTGGATGGAATGGGCTCGGTGGAGAGCTGTTTTGCGGTGTTACATCGCCATCTGGCTCGTACAAGGCCTCATTTTTCTCTTTACCATGGCTACTACGACGGTCAGGCTGCAGAATTAGAAGAAGGAATTCTATGGTCAATCTAATTAGTGACTCACTAGCAAGAGGATTTGATTTGCTTATCTCTAGAAAGAAGCTAACAGTGAGCAAGAATTGGAAGTTTTGAGTACCGTTCTGTATGGTTGTGGTGGTGGAGAACGGCTTGCTAGTGGATGAAACGGGCTCAGGGGAGAGCTGCTTCGCGGTGTAACATCGCCATCTCTCTCATACAGGTCCTCAAATTGCTCTTTACCATGGTTGGTATGACCATCAGGCTGCAATTAGAAAGAGGGTTTATGTAATCTATATGGTTCCATGTGTACTCAAGAATCACGAACAAGACTTACAATTCTGTTTGGTGATGGAGAGTGGCTTATAGCCGGATGAAATGGGCTCCCCGGAGCGCTGTTCTGAAATATGGTATTGGCCTCAGGCTCATACATTGCCTCGTAGTGGTCTGTATCGTGGTCTATGCGGCGATCAGGCTGAAATCAAGCATTAAAAGCAAGGAAGGTTTAGTGATTGATGGGTTTTGGATACGAATCTTAAACCATAAACAGAGGTTTAGGAGGTTTTGAGTACCGTGTGGTATGGAGATGGAGAAGGGCTTCTGAATGGATGAAATGGGCTCGCATTGCTTCGAGTATCTGCCTCGTACATTCGATCCTGGTGTTCTCGACTATACTCGCTTGGCTTTCTACGACGTTCAGGCTGTAATTCAAAGCCAAAAACATGTGACTAATAAGACAAGGTCCCCAAACCATGAGAGACTCCAATTCAGAGACAATAAAAAGTACCGTGCGGTTTCCAGATGAATGAAAGGGGCTCGAAGGAGCGTTGGTCTCTGGCTCAAAACTCATCGCCTCCATTCTTTCTCTACCGTGGTCTCTGCGAGGCTCAGGCTACAAAAGAAAAGTGAAAACTCAATATCATCTACATATATACGATGTTTAGTCCAAAGAAACAAGAAGGAAACTGAAATAAAGAGTAGATATTTGTGTGTTTTGAGTACCGTTCCGTATCCGTAGACCGGAGGCCTACTAGAGTGGGAGTTGGGGACGCGTTCAGACACCGGTTGTGTCCGGTATGTTCTTTGTTCATCGGCGACTGAGAAATCATACTCTGTTTCCGCTCTTTGGTTGGAGAGATACGACGGTGGTGGAGATCTACCGTTGGCGGATTGAGGAGAACTCACCGGGTTACTCTTGCTCGCACCTTTCTTCCCGAACAGTCCTGGAAAGATATACCAACCAGGCAATTGCTTAACGTTTGAATCGCTTAAACGGATTATATGATAACTTTTGATTCTCTCTCTCTGACCATCACCGGCCAGATTTAAACATTCCCCGGCTCTAAGTTTTCGTAACTTTCCATATATGGAAAATCCTAAAGAAAAAGTGTACCTGATCTTTTGCCATCTTTCTTTCCTCTGCTTGAACTGAAGAAGTCCATTTCTGGTTCTGGTCAAATAGTCTGCCTGTAAATTCGAACTGGTGGTGTGGAGAGAGAGGGAAGGCTTTTGATTATTTTCGTCTATACTTGTACGCGTGATTGGTTACTCATGGTTATATAGGAGTCAGAGCCTACTA